TCAAAGGGTTGGGGGAGGAAGATCTACATGGGCGACTGAAATCCAATGTCGTTTATATCGGTGCCTGGAGGCAATAGTGTCTCGTTTCGTAAATTTTTTTTTTTTTTTTCATCAAGATTAAAATATACTTTATTCCTCATCATAATTGAACTCTTTTGTCGCGTCAAAGCACACAAGGTACGACGATTGAGTGTGTGAATCACCCGATAAGCCCCTCGACCTGTATAGTCAATACCCGCCGTATCTGACGACATGATTCGTAGAAAAAAGATTATCGCAACACCTGACAAAGTGTGGATCAACCGGCGCAAGGTCAAACATACCTTTGTAATGTGAAATCTGATGTATAAAAAAAAAAAAGAATAATTTTTACTCTGATGCAGACCAATTGCGTACAATTGAAGTAAAAAAAGTGAAGGGAAGATGAAAAAAAAAAAATTATCTTCGCACAAAAGATATATAATCTGTATTCTGCATATAGGCACAAAAAACGTATCAAACTATACATATGATACGCGAAAGGCTCGGCGAGAGGATCAAGAAGAGAAAAGCAGATAAATACAGATAAATACAGTAGGTATAGCATGCATGCATGTGCTCTCGTGCATGAACATTATTACGACACACACGGGTTACGTATAATATACACACCTATCTAGGGACAGGAGCTAAAATCCCACAATTATTCGCGCGACAACCTTCTTGATGCGCCTGTACAATATATAGGTGTACCTGTTATATACATATATATATACATCTATAATGGACAGAAAGGGGATATTATTATGATTATCATTAGCCGGAGGATCAGAAAGTCTAGGTGAAAGGAAGAGCGTCCCGAGAGAAGAAGACGAGAGGGAACGAAGAACGAGGCTCTTTCATCCGTAGCGTTCGAGCGTTGCGTCACGCGACGGGCATGTGCGCACCACCGGGAAATTAGTAGTCGGCGGCGTGCCGTACCCACTTGATTGATTCGCCTGTGTTTTTATCGGAATCTCGGAGAACAGGAGAATAACAGCCGCTGCGGCGGAAGAGATAGGGGGTGGGGGTGGGGGGAGAGATAAGTGCCGGGTTATTTATTAATTCTTTTTTTTTTCGTTCCTCGATTGCGCGATTTCTGAATCTTGGGTGTTCCTGCGCGTGGGTACATATACGTATGTGCGGGCAAACTAATTGCTCCGAGGGTTGGGAGCTAAAATAGCGCGCTCGTGGAGAAGAGGAAGGGTTTGCGAAACGAGCGGTAATTTTGAGAAACCGAGAGTTGCCTATAGCGTATACTGTTGTTTCTTGGTGGTGGTGGTGTTGCGGGCGAACATATATTATTTATCGATTTAAGATAGGAAAAGGAGGCAGAACGTCAACTATTGTTATTGACGCAATTTTTGGTTACGTGGGTGTCGAGCTACCAACCGATGAAACCGATGAAAAAAAAAAAAAAAAAAAACCATAGATTTTTCATACTGAAAATGCGCAGCAGAATCACATTATCATCCGATGTATGCTAGAGCACGAGTGCCGTTGAAGTCCAGGAGAGCATTCGCTATTGATCAGACAACAACAACATATATTATTATATACACACCATCAGCCGACAGATCGGCAATCGGTACAGATTGACTGCGGTGTTGCTGGCAACGTCGCATAAGATGCCAAGGCACGCGCTGGCTATCTGCACCCACAAACCCAACATTAAGTATATGTATATGCACATGCCATGTTGCGTAAAATTCACTCAACAACATCGGCAGCCGATATCAAACGCGTGAGTACATACTTATCTCATATAGGTATGTATATGTATGTGGTATTACGAGCGAGATTACGAGTACGCGTCGATTTTTTCTTCTTCCGCACTTGCTGTGTGTGATACTCTTCGCTATATATGTATGTATGATATACACTGATTACACGCGATCACGTTAGCTTCCTTTTCACACACACACACACACACACACACCCTCCCACTGATTCACACACACACACACACACTGATTCGTACAGCCAGCAATTATTTGCCGGAAGCTCTCCGCTTTGGCTATCAATTGGTGATTCACTCGCGCGTATACTTATGCACGTATAGCTCGCGAATTGTTTGAGAAAATCGACGAAAGAGGATCAGACACGTTTGCACGTATATCTATGTAATGTAAGATGCTTTCCACGACCATATACATATAGCACGCTAATGATATGTTGTGGTCGCTATCACTGGGAGAAAAAAAAAATAATAAAAATTATAGAGAAATTCCCTCGGAAATTCCAGCAAAAATCACCGTTCTGCACGGAAAATCGGATGCAAGATGGCAAAATAGGGAAAAATTATTATTTTTAGCGGTAAAAATTGTTGTTTTAACAGTTAAAATTGTGGTTAGAATAGAAAAAATTTTTATGCGGGAACATAAAATTTATCAACCGATCCGTGTAAGGTTTATTGTTCCAGCATGGTAATGTTAACTGTTCCAACCATAATTTTTACTATTCAAACTAAAATTTTTACTATTAAAACAATAATCTTTCCTATATTAAAATTAATAATTTTTTCGTTTTTTGCCAACTTGCATCCGATTTACTGTGCGGAGTGGTAATTTTTAAATAATTTTTGTTATTTTTTTCTCTCAGTGTATAATAATGATCGAAATAGAATTTCAAGTACTTGTACATACATATTAGTGTATCAAGTATACGGAGTGATTTCGATGTTTCTCGCGGCATATCGGGTCAGGTCTGTGACGATGTATATGGTGTAGTGTCTCAATGATTCGCAGGAAATTTCTGTGGTCAGGGTTTACTGGACATATGCATACATGTACCTATGATGATCGAAGCGGAAGAGGACGGACGCTCTGATCGTGGGTTCTTTTTAACTGCTTCTCGAGTGTTCCTCGCGTGCAAACTCGTGTGATGCATATAAAAAGGGTTTATACGTGTATTACATCGTACATGGTGTGTTATTTTCAACACACGTCACATGTATTTGTATCAATTCTTTTGATATAGAGGAATTTTTCATGTATTAGACGTTATAGCAGTGCTCGGTTAACGTTTTCAGGCGCTGCGATTATTATTTTTGCCGATGACTCGACGTACAGGTATGCAAAGCGGACGTTTTTTCTTTCCAATACCCAGTCGAACTGCAGTATTACATAACATCTCAATCGAAGAAAAAAAAGGGATATTTCATTGGGTTTTTTTTTTCTCTAAAATTGAAAACGTATTGTGTTACAATAATGGATGAAACTACGAGTCGCTCAAGTTTGACTGATGGATAGTGAATCAATAAAACATACACAGGCACACTCGCCACTGTAAATGGTACAGTCGTCTTCTTCTTGTCGGATTACCTGTACATAACATATAAAAGCTCATTAAGCGCGGTATCGTTCCTCATAGAATATCACCAAGTTTCTTCATCCCCGTACTCTCGCTCTACTCTCACTCTTCATCCCTGACTCAGCGCGCGTCCTCGAGATTATAATAATGTTCGCTTCTCTCCATTCATTATTCATCGCTGATGTGCTACTACTGCGCCAACTTTTTTTTTTTTTTTTTTTTTCATTATTAGGTGTCATCCCGCGGATAAACTGTTCATTAGTTATAACTCGTACCTAGTTGTACATGCATGCGTAAATAGAATTATACTTGAAGAAATCAACTATCAGTATACACGCACTTGATTTAGAATATTTTTAGGAAAAAAAAAAAAAAAAAAAAACCACAAGCTAAGCACTCGCATTGGAAAATACGTAAAGTGAAAATCGTTTAACTATAAAAAAGAAAGCCCCGACGAGTAGGAAGGGGTTCAACTGCTGCGCGTATAAACTTTTGTCGATTTTTCGATCATCATTATCATGATCATCAACATTAGCGAAGTACTCTTAAAGAGGAGCTTTTCTGTACACAAGCAAAAAAAAAAAAAAAAAAAAAAAAAAAAAAAAAAAGAGAGGCACCGAAAGTATACGCACGCGACTCTGTTTACTCAACCAATGACTGATCCTGTACAGCAGGCACGTATACCGGCTCGGGAGTTGAGTTCCTTGACTCCAAATCGAAGGTGGCGAAAGGCGCGGGAGGGACTCCCTCCCGTCACCGCTGATGCTTCTTCACCACCGCCCCCGATAATATCCACAGTGATGCATGTATATACATCACGTACCTATACATGTGTGTATACGAGCGAAAGTAATAGCATATTTATACATGCAGCTGCTCGTCTCTCCTTTTCGTCCGGTGTATATACATGTACCTATACCGCCTGTTTTGCCGGAAGATCGTTTTATTTTTCTTTTTTTTTTTTTCGTCATGCATCCTCGTGTACACGTTCTCCCGGAGATGATTGAAATTTTCGTTCGAGGGAAGATTTACGACGGGAGGGTTTAACGCGTTACAAGCCTTGTCGAAACACTTTTTTCATCAAACTCACTATGTGTACACCGTATGGAGTTGTAGTGTATAGATATATGGTGTAAGCTATACAGAGGAAACAAAAAGACTTGGGGGACGTGATTTAAGCGCAAGTGTCCTAACACAATGGAATTTAATGATAAAAAAAACACCATTCCAGAAATACCAGCAGCTAAAAGCAAACAGAGCGAACAAATTATTGTTCATCGATGGGGGAGGTGATCACTGATACGATTTCTTTTCCGCAAAAGGAAAATGAGAAAAAGCATCAGCACCGTTGTGACGTTTTTGTTGTTGTTGTCACACTGTTTTCGATTAAGGACGAGAGATAGCCGAGCAGAAAAAAAGAAGAAAAACATCGCATAGTGCACAATCGAGTGGAGGATCGGGTAGCGAGAAAAAATCGAGTCTCGAGAACAGGTTGCCGTTGACTGCTAACTGGGTTAGACTGTAGGTATATAGGTATACATCGAAGTGGCTATACATCAATGAATAACAAAAAAGTATATCTATGTAGCTCCAATGTCACGGTCCACTGGACGCAAAAAATGTTTTACCAACTTTTGAACTAAAAGAAAAAAAAAAAAATAAAGACTCACCAATGACAACAGTGCTGGCGGCGACCTCCTTGGCAGCAGCCGCGGCAGCTGCGGCCGGCCCGTGGGCCAAAAAATCGCTGAGCGACAGCGACGAGGCGATGAGCTGCCTCTTCTCCTCAAAGTTGAGGTAATCCAGGCTGTTGCTCCGCTGGGGCGCCGTGGCAACTATGGTCACCGTTTTCGTGCTCTGGTGGTGATGGTGGTGATGATGGTGGTACTGGCTGTTGCGCAACTGATTGTTCAACATCTGGGCCGTGGAGTCGTTGTTGCCGTCGCCTATCGTCGGCGACTTGTCGCTGTTGTTGGCCTCGTTGTTGTTGCCACCGCCGTTGTTACCCGGCACCAGGTACACGTTGCTCACGCGAATCGACATACCTCGGTCCATTTGTGCACGGAGGGCACGAGAAATTTCGCCAACGGTACACGTATCAGCAGCTCGGAGGCCGTCCTCGTCTACTCGATCTTACCGCGCGCATCTTCCCGGCCTCCTGTCATTCTCGACTATACTCTCGTCGGGCGCATCGCCTGTGTACCTATATGTATACGCGGACCTCTTCGGCTCGTCGCCGCTATCGCCGGAAGCTCTCGTGGCCTCCTCCTCCTCCTGGCCCTGGCATCCTTTTTTTTCCCGTCTGATGTCTCCTTTCTTTTCTTCCTCTTTTTTCGTAGCTATATTCGGCTCCTCCGACTTCCGATTCGTGACTCTCTGATGACCATGCGCTCGTATAATTATATACTTGTACGGATGGTATTACGTGCGCGCTGCTGATGGCTCGGGTCGCCTATTTCTCTTTCTCTGTGGGGGCAGCGTATACGTAACGAGGTAAGTTTCGCGGAATAAATGGGCATGACTGCAATTCGCCGGGCTGCTCTGAGAGCGCGCGCGCGTGTGTGCGTTGTTACTGCTATATGTATACCTTATACGTCAAGTAGTTTCAATTTTTTAACGTATACAAAGCACTGCCGTTGTACCTTTTTTTTTTTTTTTTTTTTTTTTTTTTTTTTTTTTTTTTTTTTTTTTTTTTTT